GGTCATCCATCCAGAGGAATTTCCAAACTAATTAATAAAGTGCAAGTGGGTCTGCAATTTCTTGTGGCCTCCATGATCTATCTATATCCTCATGATATGATGAGCATATGACTAAGTCAAGATCTTATTCTTTTGTTTAAGTACAACATTCTGAGGTTCCCCTTTAAGTATTAATTAGAATCGGTAGATTATTTTATTAATTGAAATAAATTCTAGATTGTTGTAACATATGTAAGCTACTCTTGCATCAAAATAAGAAAACTTTGTACCAAATTGTTACTCGTTTGTTTTAGAGATTATTGTAATCATTTTGCTAGGTTTTGACTTTTGATTCATAATTGATCTTCTTCTCTCTGAAAAAGGTTTTCTTCTAAGGCTTAATTAATTAGTTGGAAATCTTTTTTCCAATAATTTTCTTCTTATTAACCAAGGTAGAAGCTATTTGCCACCTCATTCCCACCTCTTGTTGACATGTTTTTAAATATGGTACCAATTCAATGTTTAGAATAGAAACTTAAAATTGATATTTGATAAGAACTCCGGCTGGTTTAGGTGAAGTTTATAAGGTCAACCTTAGCCCTATTTAATGTGTTAATTTCTCAACAATGACCAATTTGGGGTGATCTATTGAATGGAATGAAAATCATTAGTATGATGGCCGAACCAGTTAGGGTTTACGGTCGAATTTCAAAAATTTTAGTCTGAACTTGAGAACCGGATTCTTTGAATTTGGAGAATCAAATTCTCCTAGGATCGATCTGGTATTGGATCGAATCAAATTTGATTCACAAAATAAGTATGAGCATACTTGATATGGAGTTGACAAATTGCAACTTCCACAGTGGTGGTTCATGCCCAATACTTAGAACCAAATCGGCCTCCCAATTGATGATAGTGCAATTGATGTTGGAGATCAATCGTGTAACAAGTCTTTAGCRTATTTACTTCTCCAACAAGATTGGATTTGTGCAGTTGCAAAACCACTTCAGTTCTGATGTGTTACACTAGAAAACACAACAAAAACAATGACAGAACAAAGGTTCTGAAAGCTGGTTAAAATTAAGGTTTATGGGAAGCAAGAGAGAAGAGAAAGATGCAAGACTAGTATTGGTCGAATTCTTGCTCTTATATTTTTAAATAGATCTCAATCCTAATGTAATTAGGACATATCCAAACTGATTTGGGTAAGTCTCTAATTACATTATATAACATGGAGATCCATACCCATAATCAATACATTGCACATTAAAACTCATATGACTAGTCTAACTAGTCTTACTTGTTAATAAGCCAAGGCCCATTACTTTAAGTGGTTCACTAACATAACTGCTGCAAGCCTTATTGGGCTTAAAAGATGTATGGCATGGGACTCACAAAGGTCTTATATTAGTCCATATGGGTTCAACTCATGTTAGGAATCACATGGGTTGAATTTACTAAACAAAATCAGTGAACTCCTAAGCTAATCGAATTGGGCTCAGTATGGGCCCAACACTTAAGTTTAAGTGATCATTGATTTCAACCACTCTATAGGAACCCAAGGATACGGGATTGATATAAGATAAATCCATCAAGTTTCAGCCTTGTAATGGTCTTTTGCTCTTAACATCTCAAACCTAAATGATCAAAACACTACTAACAAGGAAGGACCACTTCCCTTGTTGCTACACTCTCTATTTAGATGGATCATGAGATTAAAACCTTTTGCAAATCTTTTTCATAAAATACATCTTGCAAAGAGATTTCAGAAGCAGTTGAAATCCACTAATGATAGTTTAAAGTTTTCACCAGAGAGAATGTTTACCCTGATATTCACTTTGTCTGACAAATGAATTGATCCTATTACAATGATCACCCACTCAAGTAATGTTCTGAACTTTTCCAACATACATGGGTATTTGACCTTTAAAAGGATCTCACTAGTTGGTTAGAGAATTAGATTGGTCATAGAACCAAAGAAGGAAGAGGTTTACGGGCCAGAAGTTCAATCGGAGTTAAATCAAAGGCCAAACCATGATGATGTGGCATATATGTATATATATTATGAGTTATATAAATACCATATATAATATATTTTACAACGTTTAATAATTAAATATGGTGCATTGATGGCAAATTCCTTAAATTTTAAAGCAAATGATCAAGTCTATTAATTTACACTTTCTTCAAAATATGTGTGTAATAAAGTATATTATGGGTTATATAAATACCATATATAATATATTTTACAACGTTTAATAATTAAATATGGTGGATTGATGGCAAATTCCTTAATTTTTAAAGCAAATGATCAAGTCTATTAATTTACACTTTCTTCAAAATATGTGTAATAAAGTAATATATACAATAAAGAGTTATTAAATAGCACAAGAGTTGGATTAGTGGTAATTAAGCAATATATGAAAATAAAAGGTCATGGGTTCAAGTCTTATCACATTCATTTTAGAATTTTAATTACTTAGTGACTTAAGCAGTTTCATGAAATCGATACCGGTTCATTGGGGGCATCCACAAGCACATGGGGGATCTACCTTGCAATGAGGGTCACGATGGTGTGAAATAAGATACTAAAACATTTGAGGTAAGCATTATGTCAATTAATAGCTTGATGGTCATAAGTCCCCACAAACCCTTTCAATGGTTGAAAACTACTTTAGAATAGTAAACACAAACCATTTGTGCTTGTGATGGGCTAAATGCACCACCCACAACCAGTCAGAACTATAGTGGACGACGCAGGGCTGTTCTCTGTGATGGGTTGCGATGACTTGCTTTGTCACAATAGCCAAGCCATCCAGACATACCTTAAAAGATCTTAGTTCCCAGAACATGACCAAACTTTATCATGGCAGCCAAGCCACCCAGACACATCAACACCTTAAAAGCTCGTGGAGGGATGTATCCAAGATGTACCACATAAGAATCCTAAGGGAAGGGGAAATCTTAGTCCCAGAATATTGCCTTTGAACACATGACAAAACCCCAACGGAGTTTACCCAATGAAGACTAAAGAATCGTGATACTCTTTCCTAATGAGAAAAGTCCTTATTTGGACGTTTCTCATTATATCTTGGGGATCTCCTCTATAAAAAGGAGAGACTCGAGGGCCTATGCATGAGACTTGTCTCCAGATTCCCAGTTTCCTAACTTCCCAAGATCCCCTGCTTCTTCCTCCTCTGCCAATTCCCTTTTTTCATACAATCCCCTCTCAACTCTACTGCCACTGATCCTTTGTCATCTTTGTCTTTCAAGGAGACCGCCCTTTGTTACCTCACTACCCTACTTACATTAGAATCTCTACTTCTCCCTTGATTATGAAGATGGTTTCTAAAAGGACCAACCTCTCCCCAATCCCCGAAGAGCAACCTACTAATAACGAGGGGCATACCCAGAACATGAACCTTGAAGAATCGGTTCTCCAGGAATCGTGTGACTGTGCGAATATTGAATTCCTCTCTCACAAGGTCTATGACTTCGAGGATCGATTCGGCCGCATAGAATGGATGTAGGTTGAGATGAGGGATACCCTTTAATTGTTCTTGTAGCACATGACCGCGCCAAAGAAGTCTCCCTTCACCCTAACCGGTCCATTCACTCAGCCCTCTGTCCATCCCGAGGCCCTACACCCAAACTGTATAATCTTCAAGCACAGGAAATTATCGGTTCGGCCCTACACCGGCAAGCATCATAACTAGAATACAACAACTTCTTGTTCCCTCTAACCCTACTCTGGTAATTATAACCGGGGAACAGAGCACCACTCATCTCGAAGCGCCTATCAACCTCCTAGAACTGTGAGAATATGTCCAAAATCTCATAGAGGCTAGCCAAAACAAGGCCCATATGGTCTTCCTCCTGTAAAATGATTAGTTTCTTAGGGGGAACTCACTACTAAGTTCCTGTCCAAGTGGATCACCTTAGAGTGGAGACTCACTATGGCCGACCTCCACAATATCGAGCAGCATCTAGGAGAGGATCTCTTGGCTTATGTGATGAGGTTTCAGAAACTCATGCACATCATGTCCGACGAGCACACCATGGAAAAAGGCTTTGTTTAGAAATTAATCAACTATGCCGCTACCCTGAAAGGACCGCAAGGACCACCACTGCACCAAGGTCTTAGTAACCCAGACCCAACTTGCCATTTCAACAATCACAACAGGAGTTCTACACAGTTGATTGAAAGTAGTGCTCTAGTCGAGGGACTAGCCACACCCCTTATKCTAGGCCCAACAACCAAGGACGGTGTGACAACGAACCTCCACCCCTACCACTTCCATTCAGATGCAACAAGAATGAAGTAATTTTGATCACAAATAAGTTAGTCGAAGATCGATTGATTAGCCTATCTCCTCCACCTCCCAATGTCAACCCGGAGAAAGATCGACACAGCCTCGAGTCTCCCCTATTCAAAAACTGTGGTGAGGAGGTCGCTACGGTTTTGTGTCAAATTGCGCTGGGACCCCAATCTCTGTGCATGTCTCCTATTTATTGAATTTAACCCACTCCGCTCCAACTAGTCAGAACAACTCAACTCATAATGGACATATAGATCTCAATGTTTGTAATCAAACTTCTCGTTGCAATCACTATTTTCTCAGCATTAATTACGATATAAGAGTTTTATCTTCCTTTCTTTTTTTCTTTTTTTTTCCCGATAGAAAAGAGATAAATTCCAGTAACAATTATTATATTCTTCACCTCGTCCTTTTGGAAGACGTTGGAAATACCTTTATGCTGTTGTAGTGGCATATATAAAGTAGTCAGATTTTAAAACACTATTTATTTTTGTCAATTTAATCATATGGCAGAGGCGGGTTAATAGAATACAGTCCACGTATGACATCAGATTTGAGATAAGATTCAGATCCAAAGATTTGGGTGCCAAACTATTTTTAGAATGATCCTCCAACAATCAAGGCTTCTGCGATCTTTTTAAGACATGGGTCTTTCTGACTTCTTGTCTTTTATTGCCAAATGGAGACAAGCCACATTTTGGATGGACTTAAAAAGGTAGAAAAGCCTGAAAGACCAAACCTGAAATCTTGAACAGGCACCCATTAATAGGTAGACACTTTTACTGTTAGCAGTACTTGATGCCCCCTGAATGTACAGTTCTATGCTCGGTCACAATTACTTGAACAACCTCTGAGACTCAACAAAAAAACAATGCAATAGATTTCTTACCAGAAAAAAGAAAAAAAATATTGATAATAAAAAGACGGCCCTGAACTTCAGCTATCAACTTGATTATCGTTGGCAAACCAAAACTGCAGCTGCCACTAACAACAGCTGTCATCATGTACCTTCATCATCGTTTCTGATAGCGGACTACTCTTGATTTTTAAATCACAGATTCTTCCGTTGGCTGGCTATTGCCTGTTGCCGCCTTCTCCAGGTTGGCATTCGTCCAGGGAAAGCCCACCTCAAGAATCTCTCCCATATATAACAGCTTGAGAACATAAGAAAAGCCCAAACCATAAGCTTTCCTCTTAGTGCCACTGGCAACGGTACCAGCTTCAGCCAGTCATTCAAGTCCCTGAATAGATCCGATGTAATGATTGTGAAAAACCCGACAGCAGCTAAAAGGGCGTACAAGAATGGCTTATTCTCTCTAATGCTTTGGTTGAATGGATGGCCCATGTAGTTTACAGCGAAGGTAGCCACCTGGATCATCATGTTCACCATGTATGACACAGTATTGACCAAGTTAGGGTGGAAATCGGAGTCTGGCTCAATACATTCCTCTGGCATGTACTTGCCAGCCTCATTGACAGAAGATATCAAGAAAAGGAGGTGGATTGCAAACTGTCCCAGGAGAGAGAGAAAGACATATGCACAAAAGATGTTTGGATGGGGCCTTGCAGAAGACAGGGTTGTGAGGGGTCGGGCATGGGAAATAAAGAGGAAAAAAGCAGCAGTGAAGATGCCACTTATTGTCGCTTGGACATCACCAAGCTTGACACCATCGAGATACATAACACTAAGGACATAAGCTGTTGCAAGGCAGTTAAGGCCAAGAATCTTGAACATCTGCAGAGTGGTTACCAGGGTGCTCCTGCCCTGCCGAATTATGTCCAACGTTGGGGAAACAGATGCATGTTTTGCAGTGAAGGGCGATGCCATAGATGCATCACCAAGCTTGACAATGGGTGCAGCACGACCATCACCCTCCTCATTCATCTCATCCATCAACTTCTTTAGTCTCTGCTGATGTCTTTCTGCAGCTGTCAGATGGCGCTTATTTCCCAAGGAACCATTTGATTCTAATCGGTTGACCAACCTTCCATCTTCATTCATACTAAGGGCACCACCTGAGTTTTGTGAATTACCTGGCTTCAATTTCTTGGGCTTGACTGACTTTGCTTGTGATTTGGATGTTTGTGAGGAATCGGAGTCTCCAGGTTGAGCCGGCAGAACTGCATTCAGCAAAGCAACTCCTACATGGGCCTGAGAAAAGAAACATTTTTCATCATTAAGTTTTCCGATTCAGGGATCAGGAATAGAAAGGAAAAAAAAAAGAACTAGAATAATTTCTGGTTCATGTCATGTTATGTAAAGCACAAGACCAATAAAAATCTACTTGATATCCAAAGAAGCAGAGTATTAAGGCAGCCACACAGTAATAAAAGCAGTTTATTGTGATCTTCACATATCATGCTCCAAACAAGAAGGTTTCATTTAGGCTATCAAAAACAAAACTTATCAACTTTTCTGAAACAAGTTTTTGAGCCAGTTGCAAGCCAATTGCCTTAACTGAAAAACTGCTCGTGTCATGCCTATTACTAGATATAGAGAAAATGCGATGAACCTAGGATCTACAACCTAGTGCCTCTATCTTTATACTGGAGATTGCCAACATGGTAGTTGTCCAGAGTTCTCTAGGACAAAGCTCACTACTGGTCATTTACATCTTTTATAGTGGATAAATAGTTCCAGCATGAACCCTACAGGCAACTAGGGTGAATAATTGCAGGACGGGTTAGAGAATGCTCAGGTTATCTCCTGGATTCTGGGCTCTGTAATTGTTCATGTTGCTATTCCAATGAGAGGACAGAGGATTGCACATGACATGCTTGAATACCTTGGAAAGGTTTATTAGCAGTTGAATATATCCTTGCAATATCAGACTGAGCTGGACATCTTTTCTTCTCAGGGTGAGAAAAGAATACAAGAATACTACACTGGCTTTGTGAATTTTTGGATTAAATATGAACTGGTTCATTTGGGGGGAGCTATCTTCTAACTGTTGTGTGGAAGCAATGAAGAGTCACTTTGATAAGAGCAAAGTTATGCACTTCTTGATGCATCTCTGATTTGATTATGAGATAAAGTTGTCTGAAACCGATGAGAAGAGAGGAGAAAAGGAAGAATGGAGAGAAAAAGGGGTGCAGAAAATCAGTCGTCTGCTGCCCTATGTGCTATTTATATTACTAGTCTTATAATAAAAGAGGTACAATGATAGGAATACCCGTCACTAGTTCAAACACTGTTTTTCTCAACCAATTTCATGCATGTGGCAGCATCTTTTTGGCTCTCCCACTCAATAGTTTCAAGATGATCAATAATGATTTCAAGGTCGAGAAATAAACTGACACAGGTTTCTCCCCCTGTTTAAGATTATTCACCTCATTTTTTAGTTCATAGGCTCTAGCAACATTAAGGGGCTGAGAATAGGTTTCTTTCATATTGTCCCGAATCGCTTTAATTGTATTTGCCCATAGATAGTTTCTATTGATATAAGGCTGCATGGAATTGCATAACCAAGTCATAACCAGATTATTTTCTTGGACCCATTTAGCAAGAGAAGGATCCTCTTGAGCTGGTTTCTTGGGCCCATCATGGCCAATTGGGCCCATTCCAAATAGTTTGTTCCATCAAACTTGACTGTAGTAATCTGCAATGAATTGTTGTCAATAGCATTTCCAGCTCCTACAAGTCCTCCATACAATTTAGATTCAAATCCAGTAATTTCCTTGCTGAAATGTTCAGTGGAGAGTCACAGAATCGAAGAAACAACACCGTTCAACTTCCTTTTCAAAAAAAGGCCACTCCAAGTGCTGTCCAACAGCACCCAGAATAAAAGGAAGTTCAAAGACCTCTCCACGAACCCAAGAGAAGCTGAAGTGAAAAACTATCAACATCTCAGCCCAGAAACACAGTCCACAAAAAACCCTAAACTCAGCCCATGAGAAGTCAGAAATCTGACAGCCGATCCTCCGAGAGGATTCCAAAAGACTTCAGATGCCTGTCAATCCAAAAACAAAAATGAAAACTACCCATAAAGAACCGGGCGCCACTCTCAATCTCTGATTTAGGCCCAAAATCAGAAACTGACTAGTTTTCTCTGATTCTTCTTGGTCACCGGGCAGATCTCCAAGATTTCTGAACCTTGGGCACCTCCTACAATCTCCAATGACCTCCAAGAATCAGGCGATTCAAGCTGAAACTTCCAGCCCTAGAAAACTCTCATGTAGTCGGCTGGACTACACCTACATGAGAGCCCTAATCAGTCTAAGACCTGCTCTAGAAACAAGTTGTCTAAAACTGATGAGGTTCAAACCTGTTTAGCAAGAAGAAATCAGAAAAAAAAAAGAGGAAAAAACAGAGATGGAAAAGAAGAGAAGAGAGGAGAAAAGAAAAGAGAGAAAAAGGGGTGCAGAAAAATGAGTCTTCTACCACTCCAGGTGCTATTTATATTACTTAAAATAAAAGAGGTAGAATGCCAGAAATACCCGTCACTGGTAACAACAGTAAAACACATTCTAACAGCAATATAATCAGTAAAAAAAATCAAGAAATAATGAAAAAGAGGGACAGCAAGCTGGTCAATATACTTGGTGAGTTATTAAGAGAGGAAACTCGACTCCTTACTCAGTCCTCTCTTGATAAAAAGAAAGAACATGTCATAGATGCAATTCTTCTTGCTACCAAACAAAAGGGGAAGGACTTCTTGAAGGTACAATGTTATGAATGCTAAGATTTTGGGCATGTTTCATCTCATTGTAAGAAGAAGAATTTTTTGCACCTATTGCAAGCAAGAAAGACATTATTGTTGAATGTCTGACTAGGCCACCTAAGAAAGGACAACATAAGGCTTTTCAAGTCTCAGCTGAATCGTCTGATACTCCCAAGACTGATTCTTAGGGTTATCTAACATAAGGCTATTTCTTCCAACTTTGTTTTGGGGCTTTGGACAGTCTCTTAAGCCTTACACCTCAGATAAGCACATTGTTACTAGCATAGTGAAATTCTTACCATTTATGGTTGTGATGATTTAGTTTTGTCTACTCCTCTCCTACTTCCTAGGTCTTTTTTTGTGTCTAACTTACCACGAATTTAATCACTGTGGGACAAGTTGTTGATGATGGTAACAATGTTCTATTTTCTTACGATGCCTGTTTTATCCAAGACCAAAGCATTGGGGATTTGAGGGGGAAGGGGCATAGACTTGGAAGGCTGTTTGATCTAGAATTTGAGGATAAGAGTTCTTCATCGGTTTCTTGTTTGTTTTCTACTACTTCCAATGTTTCTTCTACTTGCAATAATGTGTGGCACTTATATGTTTGGTCATCTCAGTGATTTAAAAGGCATGCCTATGCGCACAGACTAGGCACATTTTAGGGTAGGCACCTCGCACAGGTCCTAGGCGCAGCACTTTCAAAAGGCGCACGCACACCTGGTGTGCCAGATGCGCCTTGGCCCAGGTGTGCACCTTTTGAAAATTGCACAATTTTTTTGTTTTTTTTTTTTAACCTGGCAGCTGGGCCGGGGGCGGAGCCCCCGGACCCTTGACCACGCCCCTCGAGGCAAGTCCAAACTCCAAACAACATGTTCATTAATTCTTAAAAGACAATTAAAATTATAAAATCATTATTTTTTGTATGAGAATTAAGAATTTAAGACCCTAATATGGAATTGTTTAAACTTGCCTCGAAGGGTGTGGCACAAAGGCGACTCAKAGAATCAGGAATGTAATATGTTTTACATCACATTAGCCACTTGGAAGTAATGCAATTGACAAAAAAAAGAGATTGTGGGCTTTACATGCTTGAAAATGTTTTATATGTTTGATTTTTTTTTTAATTTTCATTTAAATATGCTTTGCATGTTACGTCATTCATCATGGCATTTCCCATCCTCTTGACCAGTATGGATTTCCCTCTAGTCATAGCTCATTTTCTACTATTTTATCCTCTACAAACATTCCTCAGTCTTACCACCAGGTCACAACTGTTAAGCATTTGAAAAATATCATGGATTTAGAAACTTAGGTCTTTCTATAAAGAATAACACTTGGGATCTTGTCTCCCCTCCTCCATATGCTTCCATTATAGGTAGTCGTTGTGTCTATTCTATGAAACTTATATCGGATGGTACTCTGGATAGATAAAGCTCGCTTGGTTGCTCAAAGTTACAAGCAAGAATACAACATTGATAACAATGAGACTTTCGCCCCTGTTGCTAAGACGATAACTGTTGGTCTACTTCTGGCTATCACTATAGTTAAACAATGGACGATTCATTATATGGATGCTAAAAATTCCATTCTCCATGGGCATTTACAGGAAACAGTGTACATGAGACCTCCTATATACTATGGCATTTACAGGAAACAAGCTTGGTTTGAATGTTTCCATACAGTTGTGTTGTATCATGGATTTTAGCACAATATTTCAGATTACTCTCTCTTCACTCTCAAGCAGGCACAAGGATTGACAGTGGACGATTTGGATGGTATTGATAACTTGAAGCTTCTTCTCAACACTTCTTTTGCTCTATGTTGATGACATTCTCATCTCAGGCCAGTTTCTAGGTCTTGAAATTCAGCGATATCCTCAAGGATATTTTATTAATCAACAGAAGTATGCGTCAGACTTGGTATAAATGGCTTGCTTATCTGATTGCAAACAATTTGAGACTCCTCTTGAACTCAACCTTAAATTAAGTAAAGACGAGAGTGAGTTGCTTCCGAATGCTATGTTGTATAGGCAGCTTGTGGATATTGATCACTCATCTTCCATTCCTCTCTTTGCCGATAGCATGAATGCCATCAAGATTGCATCCAACTCTATCTTCCATGAGCATACAAAACACATTAGGTTGACTTCTATTTCATTAGTGATCTTATTTTGCTGGTCACATCTCTCTCCCACATGTCAATTTTGATTTGCAGCACACTGATTTCTTCACCAAAGCCATGACTAGGGCCAGACATAATTTTGTTATGGACAAACTGATGCTTGTTCCCCTACATCAATTTGAGGGGGATATAGAGAAGAGGGTAGTTTTGCCATTTTATCACTTCTTATATGTATATTATTGGGCATGTACCAGTGTTTTAAAAGCGCAAGGTGCAAAAATACGAAAAAATGATAAAAACAAAAAAAATGTCAGAAAATTCAAAAACTGCCAAAAAAATCAAGAAATGCAAAAAAAAAAACATAATATTAATAAAAATATAAACTTAAGTTTTAAAATAATTGTTTTAAAAAAATATTAAACTCTGCAACCCTAGCCTCAATCCCTTCCAGCCTCACCACCATATTTACACTACAAGCTGCCTTTGTGCCACGACCCTCAAGGCAAGCCCAAACAAGTCTATGTTAGGGTCTTAAATTCTATGTTTTCACACAAAAATAATGATTTTATAATTTTAACTGCTTTTTAAGAAGATATTTTATTAGGATGAATAAATGAACATTAGCAAATAGGGGGTTCTTGGAATTAAGAATTTAAGACCCTAACATAGACTTGTTTGGGCTTACCTCAAGGGGCGTGGAACGGGGGTCCAAGGGCAGAGCCCTCGGCCCAGCCGCTAGGTTCAAAAGAACAAAAAAGCATGGAACTTTCAAAAGGTGCATGCCTGGACTGAGGCACAAGGTGCATCAGGTGCACACCTAGGCTCACTAGGCGAGTGCCTTTTGAAAGGGCTACACCTAGGACCTAGGCGAGGCACATACACTAAAATGCACCTCACCTAGGCGCTTTTTAAATCACTGGCATGTACTCTATAGTTTTGAGTTGTACAGTTTTGTACTTATCTCTTTTATAAGGACAATTTTTTCAGTTTACTATTATTAACAAGACCAATTGAACAATCTCTCTTCTTTGATGCTTCATCTCTTTTTCTCTTTCTCTTGCCTAAATTGATAGTGACTCCATTACAAGTTGAGGACTTTGACCAAGAGGAGGATGAATGTATCATTAATGACACTTGTAAAATTGGAAGGTCAATAGACTTGGATAATTGTAAGTAAAAGGTGGAGGTGAGCAAAATTTTGGTTCGGCATTTTATTGGGGGAATTTGCCAAGGAAGCTTTTATGAAAGTGGAGAAGTTTAGCCTGCAATCAAAGGATAAAGAGAAGAATGATTTGATTCCTGTTGCGTGAAGTGTTGAGGCAAACAATATAGGTGGTAATGAAGATTCGAGTTCTAAAGATTTAGGAAAGGATAACACACAAGAAAGAATTGAAGGCAGACCAGTTTTTTGAAAGAACATAGTGTTAGAGTTAGAAAGGACAAATAACAATTGAAAAGGAGGTCTATTTTGGATTGGACTGAACAAGAAGGGAAAGAAGACAAAGAAGCTTGTTATAAGAAATAGAGAGGTTCATGGCATAAATCCCAAGGAAGCAGCTTATTTGAAAGGGCTTGTGCATGTGGGATAGTAAAGGATTAGTTGGTAGAAAGCTTTTATAAGGCATTTTTTGGGGTTTATTTACAACTTTGTTTCTGTTGGGAGTGTTTTTTGGTCAAGGATGGGTTGATTTTCATGGACGTTCATTGGGTGGTAGTTTCCTTTTGGAAAACGGGAAGGCCTAATGGGTTGTTTTGGCATTGGTCTTAAAGAAATTACTTTTCTAATATTTTCTTTTTTATTGATCTTAAAGAAAAAAAGGGAGAGAGATGTCCTTGACCCATATAGAGGGGAAAAATAGAGAAGCATTGACCTTTCCTAGAGAGTAAAGAAAGGAGTCTACCTTAGTAAGGAGGAACAACATCTCTGTTCATATAGAGTCGTGAAGAAAAGAATATGTTATTCACTCCACCAGCCTTATTCACAATTCATCTAAATCCCAAGGAAAGATTAAGAGTTCAGAAGCAATACTGAAATTCAACCTAAATTTTGACCAACAAAGCGGTATGCCTTAAAGTTCCTTTTACTTAAGTTGCAATCTCTTTTAAAATTACTTTTTAAAAGATATTACAACAGTCGACAAGGCATCACCCGAAAATCCTAAAATAAACCAGCCTACCCCAACTTTCAGACAAGCCCTCAAACAAATCAAAACCAATAAGCTCAAAATGCTACCACATACAAGAGCCAAATCAAATCCAGAACCTCTACCTAAAACTTAACTCCCATCTTTCCAAAACCAAACAGCTAGACACCCAACCAAATTCCTTCCCAACTGCAGATCCCCCACCCTTCTTTCAAGACCTTCATCACTAGGAATCAGAACCTCTCTTTTTCTCTACATAGTTCTTCTTGCCTTCTTGACCGTTTTATTTATACTACAATCTCCAAATAGGTCACCCCTTAATCTAGCAAAAACCTTTGAAACTGTCACATTTTGGATGTTATTCTGGTACTTAAATCTATTCACCTGTCAAGCCCTCTTCTTTCTCCACTTCATATGCAGAACCACGGGCCTCAGAAATTGGAAAATCCTTCTCCTCAATAAAACTCCATTCATCACATCTACAACTTCCTTTTAAGGCATACCTTGCAAATTCTTCTCTATCTAAGAAAAATAGTCCCAACATTTCAATCTCATGTGTTTTGTCCATCAGAATCTCGCCTTCCACTTCCTCACATTCTTTCTCAAGAGGTTTTGTTCTGTGGGCTCTTTTTCTTTGGCAAATCTTCGTTTCCTTAGACCCAAGCTAATTCATTTCCACCCTATCATTCACCTCTTCATAAACCCCCTCGTTTCCTACATCTTCTCAGACCAATCCTTCCCCTCATCTTTGCCATATCCCTTAAATTTATCACCCCTTCTTCCCTCTTCTTTCCTTCCAAACTCTCCAAGTTTATTACAATTCCATCTGCAACAATCTCCCCTTTCTTTTTCCTACTATCCTCCACAACCAGTTGCCGGTCGTTGCCAACACCAGGTGATTGATCCCCATCCAACTCCTTTTCCGCAATCTCCTTAGATCCAGTACCCTCCTCTTCTTGAACACTGATTCAAACAACTCCAGTAATGTTATTCTCCAAGTTCATCTTCCAGACAAACATTAAAATAGAAAATGATGGACCAACATCATCGTTCATCAGTTTCCCAATCTTTTTCAAAGTTTGCACTCGATCCACGTAATCACTTATACAATCACGTGGACCACCTTCCCCCAATCAACCAAGCTCCTGCCTTGGTTCAACCCCCTGGTTTTTACTCCCTTCATCTGGTTCATCCGTATTAATTATCCGCTACAACTTTTCTTCTTGTGGACCCTACCTTTTATGTGAAAAAACACCCTTTTTTACACTCTGTGGAAGTCTTAAAACCTGTCCCTCCATCTCTGTTTAAATGGCATAAATTGTTTTTCTTTTCCAATGGAAACTCACCATCTTCACTCGTTCAAAACGTTTTACCTTCCTTGACCTCGACCCTCAACAATCTACCTTTCTGCAATCTCTCTCAATGTGTTCCCCTTTCCTCCAAGACTCCATCGTTTTCTACCTTGGAGCAACACTTCCATAAGACCGCTTCAACATCCAATAGAATGCAAACCTTGAACCAAAGACCATCTACAATGTAGTTCCAAGATCGAGGAACATCATCGGGTTTTATTCCTGCAATCAAAACTCTCACAACATGGAAATCTTGAAGATTAAAGGAAACCAGAACTCCCCCCAATATCTGTAATTCTGTACCAATCTCTCAAAAACGATTCCATTCCAAAGGTTGACAGGAAGCCCCACCAGATGTAGAACAAAGCTTCCAACAAATAAAAAAAAACTTCCGGTTGCAGGACATATGCCATGCTTCCAACATCACCAAAACCCTCTATCATCTCTATTGTAGATAATTTGAGATTATCTTTTCGAAGAACCACGACTGCCTTCCACCAAGCATCTTTCTCGATTTCAATCATCAACTTCTGGTTTCGCCCAAGCATCTTCCTCCCCCGCTATTTTAATTTTCGCAATCTTTTATCTGCAAATTCTCCTTCACTAGTTTAAGTTCCCCTGTTTTTTTTCCATCTGCTATCAACTTCCAACAAGAACAACTTCTACCTTCTGGGAAGCATATCGCAGAATAAGTGTTATTTTCTTCCTCAGTGGAGGCCTTCCAGTTGGTCTGTCTCTCCGAATGAAAGGCTCCTTCTATAAATCCTTTGAACCTGAGGATTAAGTTCCTTTCAACGGTACTGTTGCCCTCAAGATTTCAATAATTTTGAGAACTGGTCCTCTTCTTGTTATCGTTTCCTCCAACACAGATGATCTGGCCTCAGTTTGATTCTTTCTCCTCCATCAAGCTGCCTGCATGAACCTTTCACAAGAATCTTCCGTGCACTCTTTAAAAATTACATCATGTTAGTTCTGAAATAGAACAGGAATCATGTAGTTGACCCCATACAGTTGGGATAAGGCTTAAATGATATCTTGTTAGGTCGGTTTCTTCATCATCATAATCCAAGCTTTGTCCCGACCATGTGGGGCTACAAGAATCCTGTTTTGTCATTCCATTCTCTTCGATCCATGTTCTTTCCAGTATACCCCAAGATCTCTTAGCTCCTTCAACATGTAACAGATCACTTCTTAAGGGTGCCATACATCTACACATGACCAAACCATCTTAGTCTTTCATTTTATCACCTACTGGAACTACTCTAGGTAATTTTGAATGACAAATTCTGACTCTGTCCTTTGTAGTTTTTCCTCTTGTCCATTTCAATATTTGCATTTTATCACCTACTTTGTCTACTAATTTTCCAAAAATAGTTTTAAAAGTCTATTTGTTCCAGTTTTCAAAAGAACCTCTAAAAACTGGGAGTCTATTTTCCAACTTAAATAAATGGATGTTTGCAGTTATCAAGTGTCATTAAGAAAACAGAATTTTCTACAAAAAAAATGGATATTCATAACAAAACCTTAAAATGATGAAGCAGAGAAAACCTATGAACCCATATATACATCCAAGTCATAATCTAAGATGTAGGTTGTCCTGGTTTATGTGTGTGTATGTGCGTGTGTGTGATAGAGAGAGAGAGGACCTGCTTCAGAGCACCGACATCATTTGTTCCATCTCCACACATCAGTGTTGTCCTTCCCACTGTCTTAAAGGTGGTCATAATAAGTTCCTTCTGATCGGGAGCAACCCTCGCAAAAACCTGAATTGATCATTGAGCTATCTTTAATTAAAACAAAAAAAATAACAAGTTCAAGTTTGAAATAGAAAATATGGACTACAACCTTTATATAAGGAAAGACTTTAAGAACGGCAGAAGTCTTCTGTAACATTTCAAAGCAGTCTCCTCCAATACATAGATCATAGGACTCAGACAAAGTATTCACTTCTTCCTGACTGAAATCAAAATCATCTTAGGTAAAATACAGTGGGAAAAATCCTAGAGCAAATTCGCATTTCTATCAGTCCATCTCCACAAAAGAAATTTAATAAAAAGGCAGGAATGTTGAGGTTGAAGAAGTAGTGTACAATGCAAAGCATGAATCAGAAGAAATAAGGCATAGATATAAACAAAACTGAAAAAAAAAAAACCAAAAACTCTACTAAAAAGACTTGTCAAAGAAAACAATTAGAACTTTACCCATAACTAATGCTCTCAATTTCATCTGGTGAAATCCATTCGAAACCTTCACCACATCTTGCTGGAATTAGAATCAATGCAGGCTTTGAAATAATATGAACTTGACCAGCAACATGGCAAGCTGTTAAAGCTTGATCACCAGTAATCATTACCTGATATTAAGGATCCATGTCAGTTAAAACATTTAAGAAATTAAAAATTTATTTATTTAATTAGTGTGATATCTGGAAGCAATAGCAGAAAAGACACATGCAAAAGATAATAACAACCAACAAAAAAAAAGAACCAACTTCTCTTCACAAAGGATTCAACTATAGGTTATCTTACTGACAATCTGCCTGGTATCAATCAAATGCTCTAATCAGAAGCACTCTTCACATCCTCACCCTTGTTCTCTATTCCTATTAGCGGTTTTGGTTGTCAATGTTTTGTCTAAAATGTCTCCTTTTTCTAGTAAGTTGGATCCTCAGTCTAATTCCATATAAATGTTATGATCCTATGTCCAAAAAATGTATATCTCCATGGACATAAAATGTTTTGCAATCGTGTTTCTTCCCTACCTAACCTTTTGGTTTCTGAGAAATAATGGGATGAGAAAGGATAATTTGTTTTCTCATTTTGGCATCAATAGAATCAAGGTATCCAGCTAAATTTTCTCAACAATGAAACACCGAAAACAAAATTGTCCATCCCCACAACACGAACATAACATTTTAGGAGATGATATGGAATAGTAATGGCCTAAACTTGCCATGTGGTATTGATTATCATGGCTGATGCAACAAAATTAAAAAAAAAAAGTCACGAAAAAAAATATCATGGCCGATCAGACCTATTAACAACTCAAATATACAAATACAAAACACAAATTATAAAAACTCTTATTGTTATCTATTCTCAGCGTTGGGACCACAAAATATATGATAGATAGCCGATCAAAATACAAAATCCAATCGTTGATATCTATCTATTCAGAAACATTAGTTTTAGCAATAATAAAATATACAAATACAAAATCCAATCAGACCTGTTAACATCTCAATAACTCTTCTTTGTTATCTATTCTTAGCTTTGAGACCACAATATACATGATAGATAGCTGAACAAAAACTCTCATGTCCATGGTTTTAAAACCATCGTTGACCCAGATGGTCAAACAGCCCGGAAACCGGCCAGAGTACTGATTCTGCTTTATTGCTGAACCTTCATTTTGCCAAACACCACTGAATTGATCAGCGAACTGTTGACCCAAACGGTCTGACCACTGAACCATTAGATATGGACAACGGTTTGTGGTTTAATAGGACTTATTTAAAACTTTCAAAAATAAAATAACAAAAAAAAGAGGGAAAAGAGATGATTCTAAGAGATCTCAAATCTCTAAGATCTGAGAGAGATATCAGACTCAGATATACGAGAGAGAGATCCGAGAATCTGAGATCTCAGATTCAGAGATCTGTGAGAGAGAAATCCAAGACTACTGTCATTGTCACCATTGCCATCACCACTACAGGACACCATTGTAGTTCATTTTCACTGTCACCGCTGCAGGTCACCCTCACCTCTGCCAACAGAGCCACCTTCTCATAATACGAATCCATCTTACCCTATTATTACAATTCAAGAGTAGGATGAGATATAATTGTGTTTTAACTATTGAAACGTTTGAACTATTTGACCCAGAAATAAGAGAGGAAATCATCAAAAATATATGATAGATAGCTAATCATAACAGGGGGAGGTTAGAACAACATCATTTGATTTTGTAAGCAACAACCAAAACATGTATTAGGAATAAACATATAGCTGGTCACTGAAAAAATCAAAGAAACTAAATCTGAGGTAAAATCAGACATATCTTCCATGTATAACAAAAATACTCAAGTATTTTTCAAGATTATAGATTCATTTTCAGTCCTACCTACAGAAAAATCAAACAAGCTTGAAACTGTGAGATCTATGTTTCAAGAAATAGATCTGCAAAAACAATGCCCAAATATGCTGGTTTCAATGGCATCCAAGGCTGGCGGCCTAGAAGCAATGGAAGGAATATGATCATCTTCTCTAAGGTACAATGTTACGAGTTCAAGGAATATGGTCATGTTGTCTCACATTGCCAAAAGAAGAACACTTCTACCTATTGCAAGCAACATAGGCATATAATATTTGAATGCCCCACTCGGCCATCTAAGGCAAACACTTCAGTCTATAAGAAAAATCAGTACAGAGCTTGTTAGACAACCATGAACAATTTGGATTGTGGTACAATTTCTTCCCCTCATGCACCTTCAGTCAAAGGTGAGTCTTCTAGAGTTATTACTGATGAAAAGTTGTGGCAACAGATGCCTCCAGCCATCTCTTCTGCTTTCTCTACTATTGGCCTGCCTAGTGAGTAGCCTTTATTTTTCTTCTCCTAGTCATCTTTGGGTAATTGACTTTGGTGTCTCCCATCATTCGACGGGGGCATATTCTAGTTAGTATCTTAAACCTAAATCCTTGAATAAACATATCATTACAGCCAATAGTGAAAAACTTGAGATTCTTGGTTATAATGGCATGACTTTGCATACCTCTTCTTCACAATTTCATCTTCCTAAAATGCTTCTTATCCCAAAACTTTCTACTAATTTAATTTCTGTTGGTAAGTTCGTAGAGGATGGCAACATTTTATCCTTTTTCTCATGATGGATGTTTGATTCACCAACTTCTTCATGCTTACTTTCTACTACCACTAGTACTGAACTTGTCTACGACAATAATGAGTCGTGGCATCTTTAACACAAACACTTTGGCTACCCTGATGTTACGAAACTTGAATTTTTATTTCTTCTACATCTACTTTTGCTCATATTAATAAATCTTGCATTTCGTGTGGTTTGACTAAAGGTCATGTTTTACTCTTTCCATCTACTATAGCGCATTCTTCTATTCCTATTAAATTGATACACAGTGATATTCAGTTGTCTCCTATACCTGGATATATCTTTTAAGACAGAAGTCAGAAGTTTTCTATACTTTTAAACTGTTTAAGGCTCTTGTTAAAAATCAGTTTGATGCCACTATTGGTGTTTTTCACACAAACACAGGAGGGAAAAATTCGATGGAGACTTTCAGACCGACATGAGGGAGTAGGGAAATCAATCACAAAGATCATGCCTTAAGACCCCAAAACAAAATGGGTTGGCGGGGTGGAAGAATGGACAAATATTGAGTGTGGTGAGAACCTTGTTGCAAGACTCCCATGCACCTACTTCCTTTTGGGCAAAGGCAGCCAACATTGTTGTATACCTCATTAATTTGCTTCCCTCTTCTATTCTCCGTAAGATCTCCATTCCAATGCTTATTTCATCGTTCCACAAATTTCTCTTTGCTTCATGTTTTCAGCAATGTTTTAAAACGTGGAGGCGTGATGCGAGGCGTTCCACTACCTAGAGGAGTGAGGCGTAAGCCTCCCAAACACAAGGAGGCGGGTTAGGAGGAGGAAGGGGAGGAGGATGAAGAGGAAGGGGGGATCTCACTTTTTCTTTATATTTAATAAAAATCTTTTATATTAAGAAGAATAAAGATGCATAACATCGAAAAGGGGGTGGGGGGGTCTGGGGTCGAAGCCCCCCAACCGAAGGGAGCAGGGGGCAAACCACTTTCTTTCCCCTTATCTTTTATTCCCTTCCCTTTCCTTTTCTTTCCTTTTTTATTTTTTTCTTCTCTTTCTTTTTCTTTCCCTTCCCTTCCCTTTCTTTTCCTTTCCTTTCTTTTTTTTTTTCTTTCTTCTTTTTTTTTTGTCTTTTTATATAAGATGTGCATGAGGCGCATGAGGCGTACGCCTCTAGCAAGCCTCACCTGAGGCATACGCCTCAGAGGTATCAGCACCTCTGGCATACGCCTCAGGGCGTTTTGGGAGCGCCTGTGCCTCTAGGAGTATGCCTCCCACGCCTTTTAAAACACTGGTTTTCAGTTGTGCGTACTTTGTTCATCTTCTGCCTCATGAATGCACGAAGCTCACTCCTCAATTGGTTTTGTGTGTTTTCATGGGATATAATTACGATCATAAGGGGTTTCTTTGCTATGAGCATCGAACTAGGAGGATTCAAATTTTCTAGAAATGTTCTCTTCCTTGAGAATCTTTCTTTTTTTGCTCACATTGTTAAACTCCCTGCTCCTTCTATTTCTATTCTACATTCATTTGAATATACAGGTACTATGAACTCCAACTCTACCCTCTTAGAATCTCTTCGCTAGTATGAACGGAAGCAAAATCTGCCCCCTTCTCACCAGCTCATGGCTCCCATCTTTCTCTAGATGTTGTAAGTACTACTTTAGACCCTTCTCCTTCTGCACCTATTCATCCTCTTCCATGATGTCCTCTTGTATCTCTAGGTCCCTTGACCATTATGGTTTTTCACCAACCATAGCTCCTTTATTGTCCTGACATCTACAAATATTCCAAAGACTCATTAGTAGGCTATGGCAGCTCCACACTCGAAAATGATACTTTGGATCCTGTTCATGCACCCTTAGATGCCTCAATCATTGGTAGTAGATAAGTATATTCTGTCAAACTAAAGTTAGATGGTGGCCTTGATAGATATAAGGCTAGCTTAGTCGCAAAAGGATACAAAGCAGAAGTATGGGATTGATTATGAGGATACCATTGCACCAGTTGCAAAGATGACTACAATCCAATTGGTTTTGGATATCCCAACAATTAAACAATGGGACATCAATCAAATGAATGTCGAGAATGCTTTCCTTCATGGTTACCTCAAAGAAAAAGTGTTTACGAAACCCCCTCCTAGATGTTGTAAAGATCCAACTATGGTGTGTTGCCTCAAGAAATCTATTTGTGGACTCTTAACAAGCACCTCAGGCTTGGTTTGAAAGATTTTGTTCTGTCATTACAAATAATGGGTTCATAAGATCCCTTCTTACTATTCTCCCTTCAGCCTAAAGCAGGCTCAAGGAATCACTCTTCTTTTGAGTCAATCATTCAAGATGAAAGATCTTGGTCCTCTGACCTAACTTCTAGGACTAGAAATGATTTGTTCCCCTCAAGGGTATTTCGTAAACCAGCAAAAGTAAGCTAATGGATTGGTTCGCCTAGCTAGACACATTGGTCATAAGCAGTTGGATACTCCTCTTGAAGTGAAACTCAAATTATCTAAGGATTATGGTGAATTACTTCATGATGCTGAATTGATGACAGATGCCAGCCTAAAACAAGGATCAACTACTGCATGGAATTGCTAGGGCAGAAAATGCAACTAGAAAAATAATGGATTTGATGAAAGATGCCAGCCTAAAACAGGGATACCTGACATCATTGTATACAAACCACTTTGTATTAATATTTAATCTAACAAAGTGAACAGTTACCATGAAATGACTTAGTTACATGTAGTAACACCACTCCTCTACTAAGAAGAGAGTCAAAAAGAGAGGCAAAGAAAGGGTGAAGATAAATGCGTGCTTAATATAAGTGTGTGTGAGAGACTAGAGAGGATAATTTGCATTTGACAAAACAGTGGCATGGCTATATATTGGGGTTATATAACACAGTGCAATTCTTTTGATGATGTAGAGAGATTGGGCCAAATGGGCCTTGCTTTAGTTCAGCTGTTTATTTTTTATTTCTGCTGTAATGGGCTGTCTTTATGGGCCCTTAACACATTAATTCTTATGTTTATTGGGTCAGCTGCCTAACCAGGAGCACCTATGTACTTTTTCCTTTAAATAAATCCAGCACATATATAAAGAGACCAAGGGAGTGAGAGAGGGACGTTTTTTCTTCTTCTCTTATCTTGCTCTTTTCTTCCAACTTCTTTCTCTTGAACACTCTCTCTCTTCTTATTTTTCTTGTTATACAAGTAGGAAATTCTTGGACTGGTTTTGTCTGAAGATGTCTACATGCAGTTTTATCTTCTATGAACTGCAATTTGAATATCTCCAGGATGGAACAATGGCCTGATCATCCAGACAACATTAGAATCAAGTCCTAATTCAGTGGTCCTCGGCATTTCATCACAACATTAAGTTTAATAGGATAATATTTCAATCATGAGAAACTAGACTCCAAGATGTGTAACTTACCAAGTCATGCGAAGATCCTTTTAGCTCAGATAAAATAGAAGCTGAATCTCTGCGAATAGGACAATTAAAAACCTGAAGAATAAAAATACGCAATTATTGACAAAAAACATATAAGCCAACAAACCTCGATACATTGAATTTATACTAAAAGGAGAATAAAAGCATATATCCATGTTTTAAAATGCAGAGGTGTGACGCAAGGAATTCCACTGCCTAGAGGTGTAGTTCAGAATGTAAGAGGTGTAAGCCTCCCGAACAAAAGGAAACCTACTTAAGAGGAGGGGGGATGAGGAGGAAGGAGGAGGGAAAAGAGGAAGGAAGATCTCATTTTTCTTTATTTTCAATAAAAATCTTTTATATTAAGATTGTTCGCTCGCCTCCGCTTCGACAAGACCCCCCTATAACACAAAAAAAAAAAAAAAAAAAATTGAGCTGCATCAAAAAGGGGGCTGGGGAGTTTGGGGGGCGAAGCCCCACCAGCCGAAGGGGTCCGGGGGCTTAGTCCCCAGTCCACTTCCTTTCCCCTTATCTTTTCTTTCCTTCCCTTTCCTTTCCTTTCCTTTTTTTTTTCTTTTTTCTTTGTTTTTTCTATCTTTTTACATGAGGTGTGCAGGAGGCGCATGAGTTATATGCCTCTAGCATGTCTCATGAAAAAAGCGTATGAGGCGTACGCCTCTTGCACCTGAGGCATACGCCTCAGAGGTGTCAGTGCCTCTAGCATATGCCTCAATGCATTTTGGGGGCACCCCACCTGGAGGTGCGCCTCCAGGCATATGCCTCCCACACCTTTTAAAACACTGGCATATATACATGTTCTCTAAGTAATGGAAGTGATATATCTGAGATAATTACTGTGAAGGCCCCAAAAAATAAAGGATAATTACCGCAAAGCCAGCAAAAGTAAGGCCACTCTCCACTAAGTCTCTATCCAAGCTTCTAGCTTCAGAAACCTGTCAAGTAATGAAAATTGGGATGAAAAAAATGCAGAGACAGAGACATACAGGCCCATGATAGTTAATGAAACTATAAAAGAGAGGTTAACAATTGAATATGATGTTTCCAGATTAATCTAACAAGCACAAAAATCAGAACAGAAAAGCTCCCAGAAATAATAAAATTAATATTAGGTATGCCAATGGGGCAGGTAACATATCTCCACTAACATCAGGTTGCTTACACTAGCCAGTTCCAAGCCTGGATAAATGAGCATTCTGTACTCAATCTGAAAACAAGCATAAAAAACTTAAGCTAATCTAATTTGAATATGAATTTTGGATCATTTTGTGCAATTCTGGGAAGTGACAAATGAGCAAGGGTTCCCTACTAGGATCATCTCCATAAAACTGCAACACCACCTAATTGTATCAACAAGTGAGCAAAACCTACTGCACCTTTATGGGCAAGCATAGGTGAAGACATTAGTCAAAGAGATGAATATGCATTGAGAAATAAGGAACCTCAAGACTTTAAATAGTAAGAGCATGAAACTACTAGATACAATGAAAAGAAGAAAAATTGATATATAATCTTTACAATTTAGAGACTGAATATTTCAGTCTTGTATACTTTCTTTCCATTTTCAGCTTTTTGGAGCACCTTTTTATACTGTAACATATGTACACTGTATAATGGTCTTTTCTCAGCCTTATATGGAAAACATATATAAGATATCTCTCTTTGGGTGTGTGGACCATAGAACATGCCCTTTCATATTCTGCTTCTCTCTGGTTCAAACTGAGTTGACATGGTATCAGAGCAGGTCTTTCAAATCTGTCTTTGATTGAGACCTGATTCTTGAGTTTGTAAGAGAGATTGAAGAACTTTTGGATCGACTTACCTACATCAGTTTAGGATCTTTCTGATGGTCCTCTTGATCAGCACAAGTTTTCACTTCTTTTCTGGAAAATTGCATTCAACCYTAAGGTTTCACTTCGTTCTCTTGATTGACAGCATCAATCAGCTTGAAAATTTAGACCAGAAGTCACCCAGGACAGATCTTTTCAATCATATTTTTTTTATTGTTTATATTGGATTTGAGGGGTGTTCTCCTCACTTCTTTGTTCAACAGTCCTGTGAACTTGCCTTTTTAGGAATGCCACCTGTCATCACCTTTGATCTGACTGTTTTCTTGTTTATACCTGTTTGGTAGAGCGGCTGCCTCGTTCTCTCGTATTTCTTTGGATTAACTTGAATCTATCTGCTGAAATGGCTTTGGAGAACAGAGACATTTTGCCTGTGAAGTTCGACGGAACTAATAACTATGCATTCTGAAAGTAGCATTTTCAGTTCCTTGTTGAAGGGAATGGTCTTTGGGGGTATGTTGATGGCACAACCGAGAAACCTGATGAATCTGATTTAAGGGCCTGAAACAATGGAAGATTGATTGACAATGACAAAGTTGTATCTTGGCCTCTTGGTTCCACCGGCATTGTTATTCCTATAAGAAACTTCCGGAATGCCCTAAGAAGAAGCATAAAGATTTCCAGGGCTCCTACAAAAGAGAAAATGCAACTGCTGGTATCTTCAACCATTTCCTCTATGTTTTCGGCCATAGGCCTCTCTAGTGAGTAATCCTATTATTGTTCTTCCCCCTAGTCACCTATGGATCATTGACTCCAGTGCCTCTAACCATATGATAGGGGCATATGCTGGTCAGTCTTTTAAACCCTAGTCCTTAAATAAACATATTGTTACTGGTAATGGAGAAAAATTGGATATTATTGGCTGTAAACTTCTACTAACTTACAACAAACTTGACTTCTGTTGGCCAATTGGTTGAAGATGGCAACATTGTACCGTTTACTCCTAATGGGTGTTGGATACAGGACTGGCAAACTGAGATGGTGAAGGGGCATAGACTAGGCCCATTATTTGCTTTGGAATCTGAAAAGACATCAGTGTCATCATCTACATCTTATTTTCTTGCTACTACCCCTAGTTCTGAAGCTGTTTGCAGAAATAATTTGTGGCATTTTGGCATAAGCGGTGCCTTGGTCATCTCTACACATATAAACTAGAGCCTTTATTTCATAATGGATGTTTGCCTTCTAAAACTACTTCTTTTGCTAATGTTAATAAAGCTTGCATTTCTTAATACTTGAGTAAGAGTCATGTTCTTCCTTTTGCTTCCTGTGTTGAACATGCATTCGTTCCCTTTAAACTGGTATGTAGTGATGTATGGTCGTCTCCTGTAATTTCAAGATTAGGATACAGGTATTTTCTTACATTTATTGATGATTGCACACACTATACCTGGATATGTTTTATGAGAAATATATCTGATGTTTTTCCCACTTTTAAATCCTTATTGGCAGAGATCAAAAATCAATTTGATGCTAGTATTGGCATCCTAGACTCAGACTCGGGGGCTGAATACTTTGATGGAGACTTTAAAACCTTCTTGAGAGACAATGGAATTCAGTCACAAAGATCTTGTCCTGGCACTCCACAACAAAATGACGTGGCAGACATAGTTTTCAAGGCGCCAAGGCGAGGCTAGGCAACAGGCGGGCGCCTAGGCGATGGATTTTTTTCAAGTAAAAACATGTATCCTAGGGTAGTTCCCTAGGTTCCATAATCACATTTTCTTAATAAATATCCATAATTTTCCTAAGAAAAGTATAAACTTGATGTTGAAGTAGAAAATCAACATATTCCAACATATTCATGAGAAGAAAAAGAGAAAAAAATTCAAAAAATATAGGGGCTGAACCCCTATTTCTGTTATAGGAAAAGAAGAAAAGAAAAGGTGGAAGAAGAAGAAATTAGTATATAAAAACACATAATTAGTAAAGAAAAAGAAGAAAATGTGTTGATTGAACAACATTTTATGTTCTTTCTTACTTAATGGTTCAGGTTTTGAAGTCTTTGAGGGTTCAGTACAGCATTTAGCAATGTTTGTGCTGATTAAACCCTAACAAATAAGAAAATAACAAAAAGAAATTAGTATAAACACACAAAATGAGCATTTTAGTTTAAAATTTTCAATTTTATAATTATAACCTCAAAAAATTAAGAATACAAAAGTTTGTTATAACACACTATAGAAAACTGCTTGGTGATTAGGCAAAGCAAGACTCCAATGGCGCCTTGTCGCCTAGGCATTGCCTTGACAACTATGGTGGCAGAGCACAAGAACAGACACTTTATTCCATTGCTCACCTTACTTCTTTGTCCATGTTTTTGGTTGTGTGTGCTTTGTGCACCTCCCACCTAACGAGTGCACAAAAACTCACTCCACAGTGCACAAAACTCCCACCTGTTCATAAGGGTTTTCTCTGTTATGACACCCACTCCTCTTGAGATGAATTTGAAGCTCTCCAAGGATGATAGGGAAATTCTAGTTGATGCTACTCTTTATCAACAGCTTGTAGGTAGTCTTATCTACCTTACCATGATGCGCCCAGATATTTCCTATGTCACAGAAGCTAGTAAATTTGTTTCATCCCTCGGCAACCTCATATGACTGCAGTTCTCCATATTATCAGATATGTTCGTGGAACTCTGTCACATGGTCTATTCTCTCCAGCATCCATATCTCGTAGCCTATCGTTCTATGCAAATGCTGATTGGACAGGATGGGGAGACAATAGATGCTCTACTACTGTGTAATACCCTTAAACTGGACATTTATGAGACTCATGTTAGTTTAGAATCTTCACAGCCGTTGGATAGATCTGGGGAGATTTATCTTGCCAAGGCTTACACTGATGTGCCACCAAGTTGGTTGGGGTGGCTTGTCTCAATTGCCAGGGTGAGACCTGAGGTACATGTAGTGTGGGTTTTCTTGAAACCCTAAACTGGACCAAATTCCAATATTGCCCTAGACCTTGAAGATAGATGGGCAAAACTGGAATGTTACACCTGACCCCTGGACTCGATTATAATACTGCACTAGGTGTTAGATTGGGCTGTCTTTGATATGCCAATCAGTGAGATCCTTAGAGAGGGTCGAAACCTGGGTATGTTGGGGCAGTCCGAGAATTGAGTAGGTGATCATAGTGACAAGATCAACCCCTTTGTCGGACAAAGTGAATGATCGGGGAATGCACTCTCTCTGATGGAAACCTAAACTGCCGACATTTGATTTCAAATTGTTGAGATTTGTTTTTGCAAAATATATTTATATAGAGATATACATATATATTATGGTTTCGCAAAATGTTTGCAAAAATGATTTAATTCTCGGGATCCATGTGAGTAGAGAGAGCAACACTGTACCTTGCAGCCGAGGGAGAGGTCCTCTCTTGTCAAGCAGTGTATGATCATTAAAGGCTGAGAGGCTAAGTGTAAGACTATTTAGGGATAATAAACCTGATGGGCTAACCTCACATCTGCCCACAGTCCTTGGGCCTTCATAAGATGACTCAACCCAAGGACCATTTAGTGTAAATGTTGGGCCCATTAAGAGACCATACTGATGGACTCAGGGGTTCACTGTACTCAGCAGTGAATTCGGCCAAGCCTTGTAACAGAGGCTAGGCTGAACCCATGTGGCTTATGTGGAGATCAAAGACAGGGTCCCACGCCATACAAAGAGAGCCAAGCTAGCCAACATTAAAGGAAGTGAGCCTGAAAGCTTAATGGGCCTAAAGCCCATTTCGAACTAGGTTAATTGGATTAATTAAATAAGGGGCGAATCTGGGCATGGATCAACAAATAAGGATAAGAGGATAACTCTTATTCACTTAAAGTCCAGATCCAAATAAAGATTTGGATTAGGARACTYCTAATTGGATTAGGAGAAGTTGATCCTGATCTGCAGATAAGATAAGGGATAAGCCTTATCACTTAAAGAGTCCAGATCCAAATAAAGATTTGGATCAAGAAACTCCTAATCAGATTAGGAGATCAACTCTTTAAGGTCTATATAAAGGAGGAGGGTGAACTGGAATAAGACACACTGTTTGACTGACCTTTTGGCATTCAATTCTCTCTCTCTGTTCTTGCCGCCCTACCCTGTTCGATCTCCACCTCTTAGAGTGATCAAGATTGGATCTTGATATTGTTTCTTGGTGGAAGAAACAATCTTGAAGCTGTGCTCACATCCCTACACAATTCTTGCTGAAGAATCCACTTGCTGATCATGCCTCACCCAAAGTTGTGCCATCTTCAGTGGAGGAAGGATTTGGTACCCTCTTTGGGCGTGAACACTTACGTTGGGAGGAGCTTTTTGCATGGATTCCATATCAAGTATTCCTCTCCCTAATCTTGGTTTCAAATTTTGTCCGATTTGTTTCAAGAATGAACCTTGAAAAATGCAGTTTTTCTAAATTAGGGAATAGGATTCCCAGATGGGAGAAAGAAATTTTTGAAATTTCGCCCAGCCACCCTGCATGGTTCGACCATCCATATGATGGATCTCCCATCCCTTCATATTCATGGTGAGTTGGTTCCACTAAGCGCATTTAGTAAAATTTCCAGCAAAGTAGGACATGTTTCCAAGACTTGGCTCTCCATAGTTCCCTCATCATCCATTTGTAGTAAATAGGCTTGTTGAGCTTTACATTTATGGCCAGGCCCAAATTTCTCAGTGCAGTTATAGGAGAGGCCTTGTTCCCGATGATTCGCATTTCAGTCCAAGAGAGTTTCTTGAAGGGCAGCAACGCTTGGGAAAGTGCGCTGAAGTCTTGGATCTGTGATATTATTGACCTAGACTATACCGGCTCAATCTTGGGAGGGTTTTTTATTGGAGGACCAAACCATCCTATTTTCCTCAATTGATTTATCTTCTCCTCCTATATCTCTACAAGTCTGATGGCAGCCATAATAGAGGAGGGTTGCATGCTTTTCATCTCGATTCTAATGTCGTCACGAAGGCCGCCGAGGAAGCATCCAAGCAGGAATGTTTCTAGCCAACTGTGTACTTGGTTTGCTAGTTTTTCAAATTCTTGTTGGTATTTCTGGAAAGTAATCCAAATGTAGTGCTTGGGCAGGGCTTCGTCATGATTCTCAAACCCTGTTGGACCAAATCGCACACACAGAACTTTGGTGGAGTCTGCCCACGAGACCTGATGCTTGAACCATTGAAACCAGGTTACAGCCTCGCCTTCCAAGTGGAATGAAGCAACTAGGACGCACTGGTGGCTTGGGTCTCATGAAATTCAAAGTACCACTCGGCCTTAAAAATCTAGGAAATTGGATTGTCCCCAGCGTATCTAGGAAAATTGAGTTTTCCAAATCAAATAATGGGTTGTTTGTGTTCTCGACCGGTGATTTCCTGATCTCCTTCCAAGTTGTTGTCTATGGTGCTTCTTCCTATCTGAGCTAATATAGCATTCAGGGACTCTTTGATGTTTTGGAGATCGTTGGTAACTTTGTGCAGGCCAATTTCCATATGATCAAACCTGTCTTCCATGGTATTTGACCGAGTGCGTGGCATTAGCTCCGATACCAAATGTTGGGCTTCTGCCCAACTCAGACACTACTTTGAGAAAGTGTCATCTCCTGAAATCAATAGAGAGAGAGAGAGGGAGCAGAAAATGAATCGAACTCAAGGTAAGCCTCTTATTCCTCAGCTAACTTATTTAGTTTTGTACACGGACAGCTGTAGTGGTTCAAGAATCAAGATCAAGACCCACTTAGTTAGTTTGCTGTTCAACAGATTTAAACCCACGTTTTTCCTTTCTTGTGTAGACCATCTGAATAATGAGTTTGCTCTGTTTTTTGGTTTCTAGCAAAGCCACAATACATCAAATCAGGCCTGGAGCATGATCCATGTTGGAACTTACTATATTTTCAATTTCTTATGAATTGAATTGACTACAAGAAATCCAAATAACAATGAATATTGCATATAAACATGCATTACATTACTAATTTCATAATACTATTACTTTCAATCATAACCAATAAAATATATCACTTTTAAACTGAATCATCAACACTCTATCATCATCATCATCATCTAATTCCCATCCAACACTATGGGGTCAGCTACATGAATGCATATAATCACTCTATGTTTTACTTTCTGACTGCTTTTTGCATAACAAAAGAAAAGGGGAAGGCTTCACAAAGAAATAATTGATCCAGTAATACATTCTGCAGAAATAAGTGATCCATTACAAAGAAAAAAGGAAAAAGGGAAAATATCCAGCAGCTTGAAACATGATTTACAACATAAAAGAGTTTTACCGTCATTTCAGCAAGACGCTTGTATGCAAGGGCCAAAACTCGAGACCCTTGACGTGTATATTTCTTGTATGTCTGGACATACGTGAAAGGCAAATCAATCAGCCGATCCTGAATGGTTTCTGGTGCACCCTGAAACAATAGAAACATCTTGAAAACAAATAGAGTTTGCTCCAGTATAAGAAGAGTTGATGACATTATTTTCCATTTAAAAATGACCACTATATCATTCCTCCTATTTCCAACAGAAAACGAAATCCTACTAAAATGCAGTAAAAACACATATAAAGAATATAAATTAGACTGGGCTTTCGTCTAACCAGTCAACAACATAAGATTTTTCAGACTTTTATTTGAATTAAGTATGTCACAATTACAAGGAAGTGTAGTGTTAGGAGTATTTTGTAGATATCTGTAATGTATTGCTGATTTTCAACTCCCCCCAATCTTTAAGCAACAAATGCACATGTTCTTCTAGCCAAGAATACTCATTTTTACCAAGTATCCCTGTTCAATCTGATTCTAACAAATCCTTCATGGGACAATGGATAATGCATCTTTAGATTGTGAAGGTCAATTGTGCAAGAGCTATTTCTTGTGGATTACATATTTTCTGCCCAATTTGGAGTAAAAATTCTAAGCTTGAAAGAATGGCCCATGGAAACAATTAACCCTCTGCATGACCATAGAAGCTTAATAGAATATATTAGTTTTTATTGCTGTAAACTTGGAAGTCATGAACAAATAGACCAGCATAAATTTCAAGTATCAATGATTTTTGTCCATGTTCTTCCTTGTTTTAACAGTCATAATCAGTTTTTAGAAAACCAGACCCGACAAGCTGGTTGGACAGGTTAACCAACCAGTATAACTGGAGAACCAATCCCGGTTTTATAAAACTGTTCTGGTCACTAAATGAATGGAAATTTAAAAATGTTAATGGCAAGATTTGAACCAATGAACCTTCCTTTATTTGTATTTTTTGTTACAATTAATCCATTTATTTATTTTCGTTCATATATGCCTCAAACATATTTTAAAGAAAATGTGAGTTGAGAGGCTTGAACCCTCCCTGATCATTTGCTTTAAAAGGTAAAGAAGTAACAATCTATTTATCCACCACATTCTTCTTTTCAATGTTCAACCTCTAATTTGAACATTGATCATAATACTAGATGGTAATTGGCACATCTTTATATCTAAATACCTCTGTTAACAATGCACAGCCTGCACATGAAATTAAAATTAACCAACAAACCTTCACAAAAGCAAAAAATTCCTCCTGAACACGAACAACCACCGCCATTCTCTTTAAGTGAGATGCAAAATGATATCTATGTACAATCTGCACAGCATGGCCACCTCCCCTACAAATGCAAAGCAGATAAAAAATGTTATGGAGAGAAATAGTTGACGAATACAAAGGCAGAGGTCTCATATGCCCTTTTTCCCTTGTTTCTATAACATTTTCATTATCTATAGCAGCACTAGTAGTGGTAGTAGAAAAAGTAGCAAGTTAAGTGACCAGGTAGTTCACATAAACCTAATTGACAGAGCCCCTTCTTTTCTTTTTCTTTTGATTTTTTTATGTTCTTTTACTTAGATTTTTTTGTCTTAAAAATGAAAATTTGAAGAGGAAAACCATCAACCTGGACACCAAAGATTCAATTGCAACAATGCAGTCAAGATATAGAAGATCAAACCAAGTCACAGCTAGGAACCCATGGCATTTCAAATCTCTATGACTCAGAAGAGCCTTCAAAATTTCCAATCACTGTTATGCACAGATAGATGCAGGGAAAATCTTAAATTTATTTCTGATACAAGATGGAGTTTCTTAAGTTAAATAATTGGGTAAATTTGGAATTAATTACACTGCTTTCCAATCATGCCATGGTTGTTGAACTGAAAACGATAACAAATACAACTAACATATAGGAAATATATATATACACACACACACACACAGTAAGAAAATAGACCAACTATAGAAACTACATATGGTAGGCACAAAATATAAATGGCAATTAATATAGCCCCAAAACCTTTCTAATGTGTACTGGAGCATGCACTTACCACCATAACCATATACCATCATGCTAAATTGCTAATACAATTCAAATGTACCAACTACAGAACTACTGATCAAGGAAGGAAATTAATAATACAGCTTACCTCTTAGGCATCAACTTCTCATCAGAAGTATAAATCCAATCTATAGCTTTAAGTGCAGCCTTTTCAAGAGGATCGCCAACCTATAATTCAACAGTGGATTTTGAGAAAATTATAGAATTCTAAATTAGGAAACTATGACATGATTCTTTTCCATATTCAACCATATCTAGTGGATTTTCCATATTCTTCTCCACAAAAAAAAAAAAAAACAATTTGGCTCTTAGGGTTAAGCAATCAAGAATACTCTCAGTCAGGATCTACCTTGAGGTGCAACAAAACAATACTATCTTATAATACTATGCTTCAGTTTTTCTTGGCAATCAGTTTAGCACATTGATAGGTCAGCTTTCCTTTACAATTTTACAAATCAGGTACATAACTGTAGAAAATAAAATAAAAATGTTTATTTTTAGATAGTAGAGTGGCATCCAAATCAATAGCATTGGACTGGTTTCAATGTTGATCAACTAATTACTGCCTATCCCACTCAAGGAACAAGGACAAGGGTGGGATTCATAGGATTAAGACTTGGGATTTGGAGAAAGCTTAGGTTTACTCCTAGGGTATAGCCATCAATCTTACAGGAAATTTGGGGCTTGTGAACCCAGAGCTCCAACTAAATTAGGAGATGGTGATATTTTCGGGTGCTGAATCAGTTTCACATGATAGTAGCATGTTTTATCCTATGAATGAAAGAATGAACCTAATATAATTCATAATTAATAAAATTGAAAGATCAGCAGAGAGATTAAGAATAAGGAAAGGAAAGATGACAATGAATGAAAGAATAAGAAGTTGGTGCTTCTCAGACATGTTCTTTCAAGCTTGCCTATCCGCCTTCTTGCCGCCACCAATGTTCCCAAAGGTGTCATTAGACGGATTGAAGCCATTACGGCTAATTTTCTTTGGTCAGGTTCTAATCTGGAGGGTAAGCATCATTGGATCATTTGGAGTGAGATTTTCCACCCCCTAATTGAAGGCGGCTCCATATTCGAAGCCTAGAAGCTTCAAATTGCTTCAGATTAAAATCTCTTTGGCGCTGCTTCACTCAACCGTCTCTTTGGGCCTCCTTTTTTCATGCCAAATATTTCCAGAACAACCATGTCCACCTAGCAAAGCTGCCTGTTCGAAGTTCCTGTACTGGTAGAGCTTCTTAATGTGGTTGAAGACCATGATTCAGTTGATATCTCTCTCCAGATTTGTGATGTGCTTAATACTGATGGCAGTTGGGATCTTAGTAGGGTAGACGACTGTCTATCTATAGAGCTCATTAACGAAATCCAATCTAGTGGAACTCGGACTTCTAATCAAGATAGGTTTGTTTGGTTGCAGAATTCAGATGGTGCTTTTACCACAGCTTGGGAATTTATAAGAGGAAGGAATCCCTCCATGGATGTTTTTCGGTGGATTTGGAACAATAAGGTTCCTTTGAAAATAACTTACTTCTGCTGGAAGCTCTATAAACGTAAGGTTGCAGTTGATGCTTAAATTCAACAAATTGGAATTCCTTTGCTGTCAAAATGTTCTTGCTGTAAGTCTCTCTCAATTAATCTCTTGACCACCTTTTCTATTCATGGTGCTTCAGCAAGAAAGGTTTAGACTTTCTTCAGTATAACCTTGGGGTAGAAATCTTTGATTCCGATTCTATTAACTCAAGGCTGCTACTTGCCCACTTATCATAATATCATTTGCAGGGAAATTTGGAAAGAATGGAATAGAAGAAGTCAAGAAGATGGGATGGGAAATTTTCTTGCTCTGAATTTGTTATTTACCAAGTTAAAAAGTGGCTTCCAGAGATTTTCAGACCCTAAGTTGTATATCTATCATCCGGACTTCTTGTGTATATCTATGATCCAGACCCTAAGTTGTAAAAATTTTCAGAGGGGTAAGGTTTTTATGCCCCCACCCCCCTCATAGGTTCTTTTTTTGGAATTAATAAACCAACCCTCCACTGGGAGTAAATTTTTGGGTTTAAAAAAAATTAATGATAAGGAAACAAAGAATATGATGCCTATTTATATGGACAAAACAAATTTAAATGGGAATACTGCCCCTGCTGACAATATAAGAATAAAAAAATAACAGCAGATAATGAAGAGGAAATCATTAACATAATTAGGGTGGATACACCTCAAGTGGGTTTAAAAGAAAATATTGGGGAAACTTAGAAGGATTAATCCAAGAAAATTCAAATTGCAAAGTTATTCTAGGGGAAATCTTCACCAAACAACATAGATGAGTGATGGTAGAAGTGTGCATTACAAATGGAGGAGAAATAAAGAAGAAAATAGACAACCAATAATTAGGTGGCAATAACTAAAACAAAAACTAGCATATTTTAAAGGCAAGCTAATAGAAGAAGGAAAATGGAATTTTGATGGGAAGACTAATCCTATGTGACAACAAATGGCTAATTACATAAAGAAAGTAGCAATGGGCATTTTACTATTACTTGGTGTAATGCTAAAATCTTAAGCTGTCAAGCGTGACAACATGGATTCGAGTCTAAGAGCAGCCACTTTGTGGTGAAATTATAAACTATGCACTAAAGAGGAAGAAAATGGAATTTATAAACTAGCAAAGATAAGAGATAGTAAAGATAGAGATTTAAACCATTTTAAGTACGCTAAATTGGAAGATCAAAGAATCTTGGTAAAAGATGGGACAATCAAGGAAAGATGGAAAAAGTATTTTGAAAAATCAGTAAACGAAGAACATTTAGAGGGTGCTAACACTAACAGTGTTAAAAATAACATGTACCATCATAGAATTAGAATTACTTTAGTGAAGCATGTGCCAAATAAAATGAAGGAAAAGGCATTGAGACTTGTAGGAACGTAATAAAGTGTGGAACGGTATGAGAGAGTTAGGTTTATTATGGATGACTAAACTATTTACTAAGATAATGAAGGAAAAGATGCTCAATGAATGGAGAAATAGCACTATGGTTCCTATATTTAAAAACAAATTTAATACATAATGTCCTAATGACTACTACAGGATTAAACTCATGAGCTATACTGTGAAACATTGGGAGAAAATAATTGACCAAATGTTATAACATCAGCAAATCTCAGAGAACAAATTTCAATTTATGCTAGGGGCAACAATGGAAGCAGTCTTATGAGATGATTTGTAGAAATTTTAAGAGAAATGAAGAGAGATCTTCATATGATGGATGTTCAAAACAAAAGGAGTGCCAATTAGGTATGTGGACCTAATCAAGGTTATGTGTGAGAGTGTAAAAATCAATGTTAGAACACTTGTATGAGAGACAGACATTAAATACATTTACAATAGGTCTTCACAATGGTTCAGCCATGGTGTTGTTGTTTGTTGATGACATTGTTTAATTGGTGAAGCTAATCTTGGATTAAATGTAAATATAGTTTTATGGACTAATATCTTTTATTGGAGGCCAATATATAACTTAATAGGGGTGAAAATCAAGGTACACTTATTGAAGTTAAATATATAACTTAATTTGACCTTTTTTGGCAAGGTTTAGAATGTTGGTGTCCATGGAAATGACGGTCATCAAAATCTAGGACAAACAACCAAAATGTCAAAAATGTTGAATAGAAATGTTGTAAAAAGTATAGACATAGTGAAAAATATTGTGAAATATGTGAAGAGATGCAATGATATTGTGTAAAGTGATAAAATAAGCATTGATATACCCTTGTAGACAATTATCTTATAACAAACCATCACACAAAGTGAAGAAGTAAACTTCAAGAGTTCGCAGTTAACACCCAAAACAGCATTATTTTTTTTGTTAAGAATTATAATTTGCAATCATTATATTATTAAAATTTCTTTTAATTTTTATTTTAGACATTCTATGTCAATTTTTTTGGTAATCCTATTTACTATTTTATGGAGTATGGAGTATGGACAAGTTTACCTATTTATAATTGAAAATAAAATAATATCTTATCAATAATTTAGGGTCTGTTTGGTTCACAGTCAGAATCAAAATCTGAATGGTCTATTACTTGTATGGTTCAGACAGGAATCAGAATCAGAATTGAAATCATCTGGAATAGGATCTATTCCCAAGGGGGGGAAGGGAATGGCCTTTCTCTCAAATGAGGGAATAAATTCCACAAGAAATGGGAATAGGATTCTGATTCTACCCAACCACACAGTTGGAATCAACATGTACCATTTCAATTCTGATCCAGACCCCTATTCCCATGAACCAAATAGGCCCTTAATATCTCATTTGTATGAAATAAAACTTCATGTATGCATCTCATTTTATTCTAGTAAAAGACTAGTTTATTCCTTAATATTCTTTGTTTATTTGTATCTTAAGTATTATGTTTAAACTAAGAATTGTCCTGTTTACAAGTTTATCATTTTTTGCTTAAATTCAATTGTAATTTGTTATAAATTTTAATTTTATACTAAAATAACAGAATTAAATTACATAAATTTAAATTGAAAACAAGAATTAAAGCATATAAACCATTAAATATAATTTTATTATTCTGAAAAAATATAAACATTTAATAATTTTATTATGCAAAAAATATTTTATTTATAAAATTAGTTTTACTCTAAAAAGCAATTAATGTAATTCTTTGTTTTTATTTTTGTTATTTCTTTTTATGGATATTTTATCTCAAATATTACGTTTAAATTACTGCTTTCTTGTTATTTGTTCATTTTTTTTCATTTTCTTTTGTAATGATGGTCTATAAAATTTTTGTAGAACTTCATGTATTAATGCATGAGCTCATAGTTTTCAAGGCGCCAATGGGAGGCTAGGCGACAGGGGGGCTAGGCAGGCGCCTAGGCGTTGCATAGGCAATGGATTTTTTTAAGTGAAAAATACATATCCAAGGTAGTTCCCTAGGTTCCATAACCATCTTTCCTTAATAACTATCCATAATTTTCATAAGAAAATTATAAACTTCATGTTTATGTCTAGAAAATCAACATATTTATGAGAAGAAAACTAAGAAAGAAAAGAAATTTCAATAAATATGGGGACTGAACCCCTATTTTTGTTATAGGAAAAGACGAAAAGAAATGGTGGAAGATGTGGAGAAAGAAATGTGTTGATTAGACA